TTTTTCTATATCATTATTCAATTGTATTTGACCAGTATGTAGAACTATAATTGATTTTTATAATATTGAGTATGTGTATTATGAACTTGCTAAGTTCATTTAGTTCAAATAGCCTTTTCCTCCCATTCTTTAACACTTTTCTTTTCTTTTCTTTTTTTTTTTTGAGACAGAGTCTTGCTCTGTTGCCCAGGCTAGAGTGCCGTGGCGTCAGCCTAGCTCACAGCAACCTCAAACTCCTGGGCTCAAGCAATCCTTCTGCCTCAGCCTCCCGAGTAGCTAGGACTACAGGCATGCGCCACCATGCCTGGCTAATTTATATATATATATTTTTAGTTGTCCAGATCATTTCTTACTATTTTTTAGTAGAGACGGGGTCTTGCTCTTGCTCAGGCTGGTCTCGAACTCCTGACCTTGAGCGATCCACCCGCCTCAGCCTCCCAGAGTGCTAGGATTACAGGCGTGAGCCACCGCGCCCAGCCTCTTTAACACTTTTCTATTAATAAAACGCATCTTTACCTTCTAACGTCTAGCTTCAAATATTATACTATTTTATATAAACAGAACTGTCTCATTTCTTTCACATCATGTTGTACTATTATTGTCATACATTTTACTTCTACATATTGCACAATTTGCTATTATTTTTTGCTTTAAATAGTTATCATTTTTCATTTAAAGAAAGTAACAAATGAGGAAAAAAGAATTTTCCATTTATTCGCACCTTTACTATATGTTTTTCTTTATTGCTTTATGTAGATCAGAGTTTTCATCTGCATTCATTTTCTTTTAGCTTGAACACTAGTGTAAGTCTGCTGGCAATAAATTTTCTCAGTTTTGTTTGTTTGAAAACATCTTTATTTCACCTATATTTCTGAATGATACAGGATATAGAAAGTCAGTTGTTTTCTTATCTTGGTATATTTTGTATCATTTTTCATCTTTCTGTCATTTTGAATGATACTAGGTATAGAAAATCAGTAGGTCTATATTGTTGTTCATCTGACATATGTGTCATTTTTCTCTGATTGGTTTTAAGATTTTTGTTTCAGCAATTTGATTATGAAAGGGCTTAAAGAATTACTAGTTTTCTCTGTGTTTATTTTGCTTGGGGTTCATTAAACTTCTTGGATCTGTAGGTTTATAGTTTTCATCAATTTATAAACATTTTGGCCATTATTTTTTCAAAAAAATTTTTCTCCTCTCCTTTCTTGAATGACTATGTGTATGTTAGACTATGTGGGATTATCCCATAGGTGACTGAGGTCCTCTATACTTTTTTGGCCTTTTTTCTCTCTTTCAGTTTGAATAGTTTCTCACTGCTTTTTTTCCTGCAGTGTCTAATCTGCTGTTAGGATCATCCAATGAATTTTTCATTTCAAATATTATATTTTTCAGCTCTGCCAGGTCTATTTGGCACTTGTTTTGTAGTTTACATTTCTTTCCTCATTATGTTCATGTTTTCCTTTAAATTCTTAAACATATAAATAATAGCTGTTTTGAAGTCTTTTTCTGTTAATTCTAACATCTGTATCATATCTAGGTCTCTTTTTATTAACTGATTTTTGTTCAGGTTTTGGCTCACTGTTTCTTGCTACTTCACGTGTTTATTAATTTTTTATTGGATGCTGGAAATTATGAATATTACATTGCTGAATGTCTGAATTTTGGCGTCTTTTAAAGTCTACTGACTAATATTTTTTCATGTTAATTTACTTTTACATCAGCTTGATGCTTTTGAAATCTGTTTTTTAGATTTGTTGGGGAAGGTCTACAGCAAACCCATTGCTAAAGTGAGGCCTTTTAAAATTTTCTACTGGAGCTGTGCTTCCAGTGTGAAGGTCAGAGATAAGATGATGCCGCAGGTGTAGGTCTCTCTGCTTGTCAAGCTCGGCCACTACTCTGTTCTGTTCCCCGGCGTGGCCTACAGAGCCACATGCTATAGTTACCTAAAATCCCAGGCAGAAGAGGAGAGAAGGATAGCAGTGGAGGAGAAAAAGGAGGAGGATGAATTGAAGAGGATTATGAGAGAAGTGGCAGAAGCCCAAGATGATAGCGTATTTGTGTTTTGTTTTTTTCCTTCTTCTATGACAGCATCTTAAAGTGAGAGGTCCACGAATGCCTGCTTTTGTCAGGAGCAGTAGTGGATAAATAAAGCTTCCTCTGTAGAGGAAAAAAAAAAAAATTTTTTTTTTCTACTAAATGTCCCACACGTTTAAGAAGTTCTACCCAGTCTGGTCAGAACTCGAATATCTTCCAATCCTGTGTGAGTTCTGGCAGTAGTTCAGCTCATAGCTTCCTGACAGTTGTTCTTTCTTCACAGGCTGTTCTGTGCCCCACCTGATGGATTTCATGTTACAGTGTAGTATTCGGTCCAAGAGTTAAAAGGACTCTTAGTCAGATTTACACAGCTCTTTTACTACATATCCTTCTCCTCTCTGGAACTCTGTCCAGCAAGTTCTAGTTGCCCCAGGCGCACTGAACTCTGATTGCTGTTTCATCAGTTTAGTAAAATATCTATGCTCATTCTGGGTTTGTCCTACCTGTAGTTGGTTTGGTAAATGTCTCCAAGAAAAAAGCCTGGATGACTGCAGAGCTCACCTTGTTTGTTTCTCTTTTAGAGATCACAGTCCCATACTGCCTATTGTCTATTATCTGACAAGAATTGTTTCATATATTTTTGCATTTTTCCAGTTATTACAGTGCGAGGGCTAGTCCAATGCCAGTTATTGTCATCATGGTTGAAATTATAAGTCCTTTTTCTCAAATGATAAGACACTGATCTTTTGTCTTCCAATGTCAATATTACCTTTGCAAAATTCCTGATTCACTGTATATAATTCACTTCTTCTCTCTGAAGGTTTTAGAATCTTTTCTTTATCTCTAATGTTCCAGATTGATATACTGACAAATTTTGGTACAAGTAATTTTTTTTTTCACGTGTGTTGGGTACCTGTTGAACCATTTCAATCTGTAGAATCATATCCTTTAGCTATTTCCAGAAAATTCTCTTGTATTTTTTGTTTGATAATATCTTCCTTTCCATTTTCCCCCCCTCATGGTCTGTTTCTGGAATTCTTATTAATTGTTATTGGCTCTCTGAGGTAGATCTTGTAATTTCCTTAACTTTTTCTTCCCTACCTTCCATTTATCTTTTCATCTTTTTGTTCTTTCTGGGAGCTTTTCTCAGCTTTATCTTCTCATATTTCTCCTAAAATTTTTGATTTTGGATATCTCATTTCTAAGACTATTTTCTGTTCTTTGTCCTTTTTTCCTTCCCACATTATTCATGGATAATATATCTTTGTCTTTCCAAAATTTCTAGTAGTTTTTTTTTTTCCTGGTCCAGGCACTCATTACATTATTTCCATCGCATACTTTTTTTCTGTTTGTTTCTTTTGCTCCCTTTCAAGTAACAGATTTTCCTTAAAGTACTGATGATCCTTGACTGTGTCTGTTAAGTCACTATTTTAAGACATTGACTGGGAGGACTGAGTATGAGGCTTGTCTCTTCTGGTGGCCTTCATTGTTGGATGATTAAATGGCAGAATGGCTTTTGCAGTTATATACTCATATCTAGATATCTTCTTTCTGGCTATTCAGTGTCCCCTGAGGAAACTCCTCCAGTTTCTCATATTAGATGAGAAAGGGGACAAGGACCCCAAATCAATCAATATGTAGACGTTCTTTTTTTTTTTGTTGTTGGGAGACAGGGTCTTGCTATATTGCTCAGGCTGGTCTCAAACTCCTGGCCTCAAGTGATCCTCTCACCTCACCCTCACAAGTAGAAGGTGCAAGCCACTGCACCTGGTCCTTTCATTTTATCTCTTTTCAGCCTTGTATCTGTCTCCCTAACTGTGCCTGATATCCCACAGTCTCCAGTCTCTGTTTCGATTAGAAGAAATTGAAAATCATCTCATCTAATTCTTATTTTGCAGAAAATTCATTTCCTTCAGGTAACACTGCTAATAAATGGAGAATGTGAGACTTGAATCCAGGCTCCTGACTCCTCCTCTAGTGTTCTGGTCAGCTAAAATATTGCTTCCAAAAACATCACAGATGACTCAAGATTCCTCTTTGCAGCTGTCTGGAAATCTTGGTAAACTTTTAGGAATTGGGTCATGACAGCTAAAAGCTCTGGTAAGATGAAATAAATGAAGTCCCAGATCTGATCCCAACAAAGGAGGGACAGGACTAAGGTCTGAAACCCAGACAAATTTTGAAAGTGAACTGGTTAGTTTCCTTTAGTTACAAGGTCACATAATGGAATTATTATCACTGTTTTTTTTGACGTCAAAATTTGATGGATGAAAAAATTTGACAGTCCTATCTTCATGAATTTGAAGTGTTATACTATCCAAATGTCTCTTAATTAGGAGAATGCTAACCTGGGTTAGAACAACAGTAACATATTTTAACATAGTTGCCTCCTAAACAATACCGCATGGAAAACTCATTCTGTGGGGTAACATGTATTACTTGAGAAAAGGAATTTCATAACCAAGAAAGTTTAGGAAATGTTAGGTTAAAGAAATCTCAACTAGTTTCTTTAATACAGGACTTCTCAAAATCTTTAATAGGCACTGGGAAACTTCAAAAGAGGAATGTATGGGACATGTGGCATTTGCCCAGTGTATTTTAATACAGAATCTTTTTTTTTTCTAGTTCAAGGAAGCCACTTTGGGAAACATAATCTGACCCGATATTGTATTTCTGAAAGTCCTGTTATGGGAAGTTTTGGGTAAGAACACAAAATTGCTCTCCTTAACATCAACTGCTCATCTGAATATTAATTACAAAAGGGTACAGGTCATGCTATAATTTAAAATACATATAATAAATGAAGTTCATGCGTCTAAATATAACTGGTAATTATCTGTAGTGGCAAAAATGAAAACACATTTCATTCATAAGCAAAAGGTCTATGTAAAATGGTGAGAGCCAAAGTGCTAATCCATATTACCACTAAACATTTAAAATGAGGTGTTGTCTCGAACACATACTATTTAGCCTGGAAGTGGGTCTGGCAGTGGTGGACTGTAGTGAAGCTGGCAGGATCTCCGATTTGATGGCTACATTGGTGACCGCACCATCCATCCTGTCTGTCTCACATAAGCCTGGCAACTGTGCTGCCTTCTCCAGCGTGGGCAGTAACTGATCAAACTGGTCAAGGTCAGCTGTAAACTAAGAATAGAAACCAAAGTTAGAGGAAGTATATTCTACACTTTCACAGGAAACAAATGTAGGAAAAAAGATCTTCCTTTAAACTCTATGAATTAAGTGTGACTATGAGAGAATAAAGAAATTAAAGTAATTAGAATGGTTGGGGCTTCTTTGAAATTACATGAGCTAACTATTCTACTGGGGAAAAATATTTGGATGCTTATGGTGTAATATTAATATACTGCAGGATATAAGAAAATATACATATGATATTTATCTCCTATATCTTAGTATAAAATTTATGTATAGAAAAAAGATTGGACAGGAGAAAAAAGTCTCAAAAGCACCGTGTGTTGTTGGTGACATTATGGGTGATTTTCTTCCTGTCATATTTTTCAAAATTTTATGTATAATGATTTAATTTATATTTATATTGACATAACTTTTTAAAATAATTTTTAAAAGTTTGGGAAAGCTTTTTATAAGATCTCAGAAAGGTCACTTCCAACTTTAGGATTTAATATTATAAGAAACATATCTTCGAGAATAGTTAGGGAGTTCCTACGTTCATCTGAAAGTCAAATGTAGGAAAGTTATATATAGAAGAAGAAAATTGGCCTTTATTTCACAAGAGTATTACATTATGATTACTTTAAGATAATTAATCAACATGAAATGTTGGGTTTCATCATTTAGTTCAACTAAAATTTTTGTTTCCACATTGTATAAATAGAATTATATGTATGTATTTTTAAAATGTCTGATTTCTTTCAAAATTATATTTCTGAGGTTCAGGCATGTTGTCACAAGTAGCAGTAGTTCATTAATTTTACTACTGAATACTATCCCATTGTATTAGTATGCCACAGTATAATTATCCATTCTACTGTGATGGATTTTGGGGTGGTTTCCAGTTTTTGGTTAATACAAATATAGCTGTTATGAACATTTCTGAACGTGTCTTTTGTTACACATGTGCAAAAAGCACTAACCATAATGGAAAAGATAGAGAAACTGAGCTGTATTAAAATGAAGAACTTTACTTTATCAAAAAGCACCATTAAGAGAAAGAAAAGGCAAGCCATGGAAATATCATGAGAAGATATCTGCAAATACATAACCAATAAAGGACTCATATCCATAAAGAACTCTTACAAGTCAGTAAGCAAAAACAACACATTAAAAAAATGGGTAAGAGATTAGACAATTTACAAAAGAAGATATCTAAATGACCAATGAACATTTATGAGGGAAATGCAAATTAAAACTATAAAATACCACTATGCACACCCCAGAATGGCTAAAAGTTTAAAAAATTGACAATACCAAGTATTAGCAAGGACGTGGAGCAACTAGAAGGAATTCTCATACATCTACTTAACGTATGCATATCTTATGATCCTGCAATTCTATTCCTAGGTATAAACTCAGCAGAAATGCATGCACATGTGCACCAAAACAGATGTATCAGGATTGTACACAATGGCATTATTTTATAAAGTTGTTACTTATAAAGTTAATTTAAAAGAGAGTTTTAATATACTTATTATTTAAAGCTGTTTTTCTGCTTAAAAAAAACAATATTAGTTTCATCGTACCAAGAAACATGAGACACAGCCTTACCCTCAAAGAGCACACATACGAAGAATCAGTCAAAATAGTGTTACTATAAATTATAAATATAGAAAATACAAAGCACTATGAGAGTAGAGAGGAAGAAAATGTCTAACTAGGGCTACTTGGGGAAGGCTTTATAAAGATGTTGTTTGAATTGGTTTGTGAAGGATGAGTAGAAGTTCAGCAGGCACAGAAAAAGAAGAGCAAGGCAGAAGATGCTTAGAAGAGACATGGCTTATCTCAGGAATGGCATGGACTTCCATGTGCCTAGAATGCAGTATGCCTGAGGGAAAAGAGAGATTTTTGTGAGATGAGGTCAGAAAATCAAGCTGGTTCAAGAAACTGAAGGGCATATGCATACTAAGTGTAAATCTCGTTTCACAATGGAGAGTTTGTTGATAAACTGCTTTGTAAAACACTGCCAGCTATCTCATGAATGTCTATATTCCATCTGTAAATAATATGAAAGCTCTTAGAGGAGAGGGACCATATTTTTTGATTTTTTTATATTCCTTCAGAGTCCACAAGCAATTATTCAATACAAGAAGGTACCTGTTAATTTTCACCCCACCCCCATCCCATCCTAAACATAGAGGTTCCTAATCCATAACAATTTCTGGAAAGGTTTATTTTTTATTTATTTGTTTCAGGGAATTTTATAAAGGGTAATATTCTGCTACCTAGAATATTCAAATTCCTATTCTCTAATGATGGTTGAGGGTGGTTGGAATCAGATGAAAAGGAAAACAGCCTTAGAAAATGCTTCAAAGAAAATAAAAAGCAAGCCAAACTAGGTAGGCTTGTCCATCTCCGCATATTTCTCTATAACTTCGTTTACATCACAGGTTCCCAAACTTAGCTACACATCAGAGTGCTCTGGGGGTAGTCTTTAAAATACAGATTCCTAGATCCTATTCCCAGAGAGTTAGATTCAATAGGTAGGGCTGGGAGGAGGGGGCAGGGAAAATATTATTAAAAATCTCTAAAGATATGAACTCTGATTTTATACAGAGAAAGAAAAATATGCTTTTTGAGAATGCCACATTAATACTGTAGCCCTCTGAAGTTCTAATGAGAACTTTTTAGGGCATTTTGTGACTTTTCAACTATTGCTGCTAACCTCCTAATAGAGGACCATCGGGCCAGGTGTGGTGGCTCACACCTGTAACCCTAGCACTCTGGGAGGCCAAGGTGGGAGGATTGCTTGAGCTCAGGAGTTCAAACCAGCCTGAGCAAGAGTGAGATCCCTGTCTCTACTAAAAATAGAAAAATTGGCTGGGCATAATGATGTATGTCTGTAGTCCCAGCTACTCCAGAGGCCGAGGCAGGAGGATTGCTTGAGCCCAGGAGTTTGAGGTTGCAGTGAGCTGTGATGATGCCACTGCATTCTATCCCAGGCAACAGAGTAAGACTATGTCTCACAAAAAAAAAAAAAAAAAAAATGCCCATTGTATAGGAAAAAACAGCACGAATCCAAATCTGGTCTATGGTTGGAGTAGAATAGATGAAAAGAAAAAATAACTATGAAATATCATTCTCTGAAGCAAGGAATTACCTACCTGGTTCTGGGACTCCAGTTTAATTTCCTCAGGAGCAGGTTTGGGGTTGGTCATTGGAGTTGGGTTTGTGTTACAAGGATCCATCTGTTCTTTCTTTTCCACTTTCACCTTTACATCATCCAGGCTCAGGTTTGGAGTTGATCTTAAATCCTTCTCATCTTTATCTAAAAGGTAACGTAGGAGCTGATGGTCCTTTGATTCTTTTTTCTTTGAAGCATCCAGTTCTAGTTTTATACTAGAGTTCCCTTGTGCCTGTCCAGTTACTGACACAGAAGTAGATGCACTGTCCTTTTTATCAGGCTCAACAGACAAAGTGGTGATATCTGAGGGGCTACCCTCCTGTAAGAGTCGGTGCAGAATTTTGTGCCTCTCTGTAAGTGAGCTATGGGACGAGGGGCAAGAACCTCCTGAAGAGTTAGCAGAGGCAGAGTTGGAAGTGCCTGTGCAAGACAGCACATCTTTGCAACTTGCGTCTATATCAGCATGTCGTAACTGCTGTTCGGCAGTTGTTGTCAAAAGCTGCACTAGTTTGTGACTGGTTTGAGAGTATTTACTGTCTCCATCTGACAGTCTGTCATTGTTATGCACAAGCCCTGAATCCAAAGGTTTGCCATCACTAGAGCTGTTGTCAGATTGAATCATTTCATTTAAAATGGTTGTAATCTCTTTGTTATCTTTGGACTCAGCTTTTGCTGGTTGTATATTTAATCTGCTCGGTGAATTCTGTGAGCTGATCTGCCTGAGGACTGGAGAACTGGCAGAGAAGCCAACGGAATTATTGGGTCCTTCATTCATACCCTGTAAAGATGTTACTGGGATATTTGAATAAGATCGGTTACTATTATTACAGGCACTACCTGTCATGCCAACAGGGGAGCTTAATGTCGAAATATTAGGAGGGAATGAACTGTTTGGCATCCTGGGCCTTGTTGCCAATCCAGAAGTAACCTGTCTCCTTGGAGACATGAACTGTGCTAGGGATATTCCTGTACCTTCCATAGGAGAATTACTGAGGTTTAAAGAGGGATTACTGCTCTGGGAACTGGCCTGTCCTTGGTTTAAGGCAACATTGGCTACAATCTGATTTCCAGGTGAGCATCCAAAACTCCCTTGGCTGTTGCTAGAATTACTATGAGTGCTGCTATGAAGTTCTGAGCTCTGTTGTCGGTTTACTCTGGTGGATACCATGTTGCTGTTGGATGGTGGCAATGTGGATGAACGAGCCACACCATGAGCTGGAGAGATATTAGGATTGACCGAGGGGTTTACTCGGGGAATTGACATTCCAGAATTAGTGTCATCTTGAGGAGAAAGCCCACTGTGTTCCCTAGGGGGAAAAAGACATTATTATTCAGACATCTTCCCTTGTTTCCATTAAAATATATTTTTATGATGCATATTATAAAACAAGACTATTAACTTCATTAATATTGCAAGCTATCAAGTAAAGAGCTTCTGTTTCACCTTAAGTTAAGGAAAAACACTGGACTATTAGTACTACTGTGAAATATTAGCACCACTTGATAAGAAATAGTGCTTATGGACTCAAATTTTATAATGGTCTCAATTACATGTGAAAGAAATCCTTCTTGGTCTTGGAAAAAATCTAATATATGTACTTTTAAATTTTTCTAAACTTAATGCAAACATTATAATACTTTTGGTTGAAAAAGAAACTTCCCACACCTCTGTTTATAAAGCACTTATTCATGACTCCCCTGTTACAGCTTTTAAGTATTTCAACTCCAAAGAGGAAGACTGGGTAAGGAAAATACTGTGTCACTGATGTAAAAATTAAAAAGGGTGATATGCAAACATAGCAGATGTTTTAAAAGAGAAATCACAATATGAAAAAAAGAACTGTGCTAATTCCACTCACAAGCATAATTTAAACTAAAACTAGAAAAAAACTGAATGCTGAATTCAGGTTTGCAGTGAGTTCTTTACTCAAATTCATAATTATAACAGATTTGTGACTGGCATTACCATGTTCCAATAAGCAAATATATCAGATGAGGAAAAGATGAAGTGAGGGGAAATGTCTTTGTTTTTAATGTTAAATTTTAAATAGCTGTAAATATGGGATTTTGAATAAATCATAAGTTAAAGAATAGTTCCATGAATTTACCAAGTATACCAATATAAAACATATTTAGAGAGGGGAACAAATTAGAGGCAATGATATTCAAAAATCTCACGTTGATAGTGTAATGATTTATAGTTTCTGTGAGAAATTGTCATCTTGAATTCAGGAGCCACCAAGTTTGCCCTAATGAAAATAAAGCACTTTCAAAAATAAAAATAAAAATAATAATGTTAATAAACTTTGCAATTTTTTACAAGATTCATATATGGAAAGTTGGACATTTTTAGCCACTTTTTTTGTTTTATCTCCTAAAACATGTATTTTCAACCTCACCTTTCCTGTCTCCCTTTATGAACAAAAAAGCTATTAGGCGACAAAACTATAAAACCTAATATGGATATATTAAGTATATACTCATCATACTAGTTCTATGCCTGATTTAGAATTTCTGATTTCTTGTCATCAAGAGCATAAAACGTTTCTCTAAGAAGAGATATGTGAACTGACTTATTTCATATGAAGCTCTCCAAATAAGTAGTACCTGTCGATGATATGAATTCCCATGATGAAAGGTTGCATGTCTGGACTTTGAGGGTAGCAAAGTTTACACTTGGTGTGGGCGCTAAGCATTGTCCCATCATTCAATATGAATCTATAGGATGGGCTGGAGGCAGTGCCACGAGTCATCACTGTTTCAAACAAAAGAGAAACCTAGTTAAAATTCTGACACTTGTATGTTGGGCAAAGGAGAGTCACCAGGCCTTATTTCTACCTAGAACTTCATTTTAAATGTCCTCCCAACTGCTGCCTGCTCAGACTCAGAATGAAGAATAGTTCAGACAAAGCAGATTATCTGAGAGGGAAAAATGATTCTGGATGAAATATACCACTTGAAGACAGGTTTTAATTTAGTTCTATTTGAATGGGTGCCTCCTCACATAAATTATGATTGTAAAGAAACCCCAAACCAGGAAAATATCAACCTTAATCTTTCCCTATACTGGGGCAGCTCTTCAAATCTATAAAGTCTCCATTAAAAATACCACGAAGTACTTTTCTCTCCTCTCACTCTCACTGTTATCTTTAACAAGTTTCGTTTTGTTTTTTCTTTTCCTGGCTGACTTTTTAGTAACAGCTCTATTGAAATAAAATTCACATACCATAAAATTCACCCTCTATGTTTTGATTGGTTTACAGAGTTCCTTAACTAATATTCAAATTTAATTTTTCACTGAGGAATATGAGTCATTAAGGTCCCATTTTATAAATTATTATATTCATATATATTATTTTAATGTTTGAATTTTTTAGGTTTAGTAAGCAAATTAAGATAAAGCCAATGATTACTAATATAAAGAACAAAAACTAGCTTAAGACAGTCAAATCACTTCATAAACAACATAATTTACTTACTTTTGTTTTAAAGCTTTACTATCAGCAGACAAAATTCTAACCATATAGGTAAGTCTTTATTAAATATGTAAAGGCTATACCAGACTATTAAGTAATAAAATATCACTGATGTTTCAGTAATACAACAGAATTCTATATTAAGAAAGACTTAACAGATAGATTCAGCTATATCAAGGTTAACAATCATATCCATTGAAACACAAGAATTACTACCACAAATGACTATTATAATTTAGTCTATAATAAATGTTAGTCCTATTTTTCAGAAAGGGCTTCAATTACATTTTAAAGAACAATGAAAGAGACTTCAAATGACCAACTAATAAATAATTTTTGAAGCTACATATTACTTGAAGACAAGAGATGCTCTATTTTATTGTCTTGGGTATATAGTATCAACTGAAAAAGTTGTAAATCTATACCATAATAAATCTGCCTAAGGACCCAAATCAGGGTATAAACTTAATCGAAAGGATTAAGACTTATGTCCAACCAACCACATTCTTTACCCAACTGGCAATTTTAGCTAAATCACTGGCTGAAATTATACCAAATATAATGCCGGAGAAATTTAATATCCAATGAAACAATAAAGGATGAAAAAGAGTCTTTTTTGAACACTGATAATTTTTTGTGGAAGGATGTAAGTAAAGGTTTACTATAGCAAATCCTAAAAACATTAACAATCTCAACTGTTAAAATCTCTTTAATATTTTGGAAAATACAACTTCAACAAAAAGGTAGCATTTAAAAATAAATCATTAACCCAGGATAATAATAAATCTAAAGATATATAAAGGGCCAGACGAGACAGACAATATATCTCATGTTATTTTGCTTATGCCATTTTATCCATTTCCTCATCCTTGTTTACTGCCCTTTAGGATATCCTCATTCTGTTTGAAAACAGTCACTGGCTCTTCACTATAGAGCTGCACCACTGTCCAATATGGTAGCCACTAGCCACATGGGGCTATTTAAATTTAAGATTAAATGAAATTTAAAATTCAGTCCATCCATCACACTAGCCACATGTTAAGTATGGATTAGCCACATGTAATTAGTGGCTACCATATTGGACAGCACAGCTGTATACAATCTGACTTCAACTTGCATTTTTAACTTTATTTCTCATTACATATATCCCTTTGACTAGGAATAGATAATTTTTACACATTCATTTTTCTTCTTTAGCTAGAATAAACATAAAGACTACTATGAGTCCTATTCTTGTTTTCCACTCTCTATTGAATCCTGCACTATGCTTTGCAATAAAATCTTCCAGTAAGTACTGGCTGATTGATCTTCAACTTGAATCTCATCTAACTAGACTGATAATGACATGTGATAAACCGTCATAACTTTTCTTTAAAGGGAAGATTTTCAATCTTAGCTATGTTCTTAAATATTCATATTATATCTCAATTTACGTTTTTGCTCTTTTAGGAATCTGGACTTAATTTTGTAATGGAAATTAACGAAAAGAAATATCTTGATCTATTGACAAGCCCTATAAAGTGAGAAAGAACTAGAAACTCAGGCTAACATGAGAACATTAACATATTTTATGTGGATTATAGAAACATCAATAGTCTTTTTGTTAATTATACTGCCTAAACGTATAGAACTATATCTAAACTGGGAAACATTTCTGAATTTGGGGAATCCTATTAATTTAATTCAAGGAAATTATCACACTTTTAAGTTTTGAAGATAGACTATTTTGGATGAGAATGTGTGGAGTATAATTCACACAGCCATTCTTTGAAATGAGAAAAAGGCAGTATTTAATTTGGTAAAACTTCAATTAATTAGAACTCAATAAAACTCCCCAGTTAACGGAAATTTTGGTGCTTACCTAATTGTTCAGATCAAGAGGTAAACAGGAAGGCAACATAGGTTAACGGAAAATATAAGAGCACAGGAGTCAGATTCAGGTTTGACTTCTGACTTTGTCCTTTATAAGTTTAGGACTTAATGCAAATTAACTCTCACCCATCTTAGTTTCTTCATCACTAAATGGAGCCAGTAATATTGTGAGATAGTATCTATCATGGAGCCTAGTACACAGCAAGTATTGAATGAATATTTCCTTAATAAACATCAAAGGAAAACAACAAACAAGCAGATTCCAAAGTGCATATGTCCTTAGTCATATACACATTTAGTCAATCCCTAGACACCATTTATGCCAATAGCTTCAACCCTATATAACCAATCACTAATATTTTGAATTAAGAGACGAGTAAGGTAGCCACAGTTCTTTACGGAATTGGTTCAATCAAGATTTGCTCTGCACACCAAATTTTTCCTTTAAGTGGGTTTCAAGGATTAGTTTTGAAATCCCATTTTGATCAGAGGTCTTGGCCTTGTTTTCTGATCTAGTTTTGCCAGCTATACAGCTAGCATTTTGATCTCTGACTCCTGTGTCCATTTCTAAACTTTACAGAACACTTAGTGGGGAAGGATATTATTGCAGGGGTATTACTGACACCCCAGAAACTCTCCAAAGAACCTTTAACATGACAACTGTTTTTGTTTTGTTTTTCTCTCTAGAATAGGCCTCAAAAAAGCTACAAAGCAAAGGAAACATTAAATTTCCCCTGGTTACAGAAGCTGTAGAAGTAGAGCTATTTGGGTTTTTGATCCCTCCCAATTTGGTGCTGAGATAACCTCAAACAAGCATGCCTTATTGATGTTAACTAAATGTATGAAATGTGTGGCAGGGTACTATGGGTCAATGTTGGTAGAGATTTCTTTTTCTTTTTGGTATTTACCTAAATATATGCAAAAGAATGCAATTTTTAAAAACTGTCATTAGGTACAGAAAAAATAATTACCCCTGGATGTTCTAAGATTTTCAGTCACCATGAGTAAATTCTATTTAGTGTATCAAAATTTCTACAAGAGGATAGTAAACTCATATTTTAAAATTTCACAACAGAGTTTGACATAAAAAGATTTTCAGTTAACTGTTACGTGGACTATGGAATTAGTTACATTACACAAGTCTCAAAGAAAATTCTAGTTAATCATTAATATGGGTACTTATGTTTTATAGCAATATTTCCAAACTTCTGAATACTATAATCTCCTTCAAACTCTGACTCATTATATTTTTTAAAAAATGAAAATAGCTTTATTTTGTGATTATAAAATTAAGATAATAGATGAACAAAGAACAGGTAAAGATAAAGTCATTAGTAATCCTATCACACATAAATAACCACTGTTAATATTTTGTTAATTTTCTAGAATTGGAAAGTAGGAAGATATACAAGAGTGAGATCACACTATATATGCTGTGCTTTCTTAACCTACTTTTTAATATGACAATATATCACAGCCATTTCAAAGACAGGAAATGATGATCCATTATATCACTGTATACAGGTAAATAGAACTTTCATAAAACTAGTCTCTAGGCTATATAGCCTAACATTTCCCAGACTACTATTCTCTCTGCTAATTGATGTGCTCCAGAAAAAGGTATTCTGTATGAAAAAAAGTCTGAGTAACAAAGTTTAAAAGGTATTCTTGTTGTAGAACTTCCCAGAAACCTTAAATACCTTAAGTGTGCCTTATAAATCCCCAAAAGTGGGAGACTAAAGCATTTCCCAAACTTAATAAAGCATGAAACATCATTTCCCAGTTATAGCTATTAATATCTTGTAGAACCTAGGTTTATGTTTTACAAACTTCACTGTAAGAAAATATCTTAGACTACAGACTTTGATTCAGTAGTGTGGGGTGGGATCCAGAAATCTGGTTTAAAAAAACTGCCCCAGATGAATCTGTCTTATCAGGGACCTTGGGAAGCATTATAACTTAGACCTTTCTTTAAAATAATGGTTCTGAATTGAACAGAACCTGGAACCTTTTCCAAACTACATACACTTGCATGGACCTTCTCCAAGTTTAAAAGGCTCCTTAAATGATTCTAATATCCATTTCCTCTCAACCTCAATGTAGAACCAATGGCTTTAATTTAGTCCATTGCTGAGTATTCCCACATATTCTTTGACTGAAATGTTTTTTCAAATTTGACTCTGGAAAATAAAATAGTTAAAAGCAGTTCATGAGTTGTCTCAGTCAAAAGTAGCCAAAAAATTAAGAGCTAATTTTTTTTTTTTTTTTAGTTGGGGGATCTCCCAGCGAAACGGTAAGATCCACACCTGATGTTCATTCATTTATTTATTTATTTATCTATTTTATTTCAGCATATTATGGGGGTACAGATGTTTAGGTTATGTATGTTGCCCTTCCCCCCCTCAAAGTCTGAGTCTCAAGTGTGTCCATCCCCCGGATGGTGCGCATCGCACTCTTTGTGCATGCATATACCCATCCCCTCCTCCCCCCTGCCCAACATCCAATAAATGTTATTCTTATATGTGCACTTATGTGTTGATCGGTTAATACCAATTTGATGGTGAGTACATGTGGTGCTTGTTTTTCCATTCTTGGTACACTTCACTTAGTAGAATGTGTTCCAGCTCTATCCAGGAGAATACAAGAGGTGCTAAGAACTAAAATGTTTAATGCATATTAGGATTTTACACTAGCTGCTGCCTTCAAAGAGTAAATTAATGGGCAGGAGAAAAGACAACAGATGGAGGACAAATTTTTCTTGCCTAGATAGCAATCACTGTAAAGTTTAACAGAAATCAAGGATGCAGTGGTATAATTTGTCTCACTCTTTTCACACGGTCCCTAAGTGAAGAGACAGCAAGGTGACTGCAAAAGCAAATTATACCTCTCTCTAATCTTAACAGACCAGTGGTTCTCAAACTTAAGCATTATCTTTAAGGTTTGTTAAGATATCGGGGCCCTCATCTGAGATTTTAATTCATCACGTCAACATCTTTAACAGGTGATTGTCATGTAAGCGTTTCACAGGGCCACATTTCTTTTACTAGACACTACTCAATATAATATGCCAGAAAAAGGCGTGCTCAAACCATGAAAGCTGTTTGGCAAGTTGTCCAGAATCTACAAAACACTAGAATCATAGTCCTGTGAACTCTGGACAACTTAATTCTGAGAAAAATGTAAGTTATTTATATTGAGGAATTTTGTTTTCTTTTTTTCCTAAAAAAAGGTAGAGGGAGAGAGCATTAAGAAATGATTAATTGGGAAGAGACGTTGGACTATACTTGCATTTCTTTACGTTTTACTCTAAACTGTTTCACTTTGTATATTGATGACACACTGGTTAATTATGATAATTTAATTAATCTATTTTATGGGGAATTCTAAGTATAGAAACACATACCTTAAGTTGTGGCCCAATCACTTCTATGTGCCTAGTCATTTGGCCAATGAGACAATAATCTAGACCTGCTTTGCCTTGGTGAAAATATATACAAATTACAGACAAATAAAATTAAGTCTTTTAAGTAAAGCCTTAAAAAGCCCAACTTACAAAGTTAAGGCAAAAAAAATCAAGGAGTACCATATACTTCAGAACTTTAGGCAGTGAGTGGAGACAATGCTGAGTCCCAAACTTATGCAACAGTAAGTGCCACTCTCGGTAGAGGAAGTCACAAAGTTCACATTCAGTGGATGGCATTAGTTACTTATTGTGATGATTTCTAAACCTGGCTGCACTTCAGGGTTGGCTTGGAAACTTTTTTAAAAATTCAGATTCTTGGCTCTAAACAGTGAAATACAATCTTGGGGGTGGCAAATCTAGTTAGGAGCCCACTGGAGAACCATTAGTCTGTAGGAAGCTGTCCCAGAAGTAACCAGGACTGTGAGATTTATATAGATGGCTTCCCGGAAAAAAAAAAAAAAAAAAAAAAATCAAGCTACTTCCTCCATATACCACTAGGAAGCAGATGACCTAAAATGGAATGAATGAAAAATCATCTGTAAACTTAAGGAGACCTAATGTTATGGGAAAACATTAAAATTAAGAAAGATGATGGAATAATGAAAAATATCTTAAATTTCTTTTTCAGAAATAGCCATGGAAAGAGTCTCTTGCCAATGAAACTATCTAATTAGAGATTAGAGAATAAATTACATTGGAAAAAGAGTATTAGGCTACTGTAATTAAATTACAATATTTTAAAAGTACATCAGAATCCCTTAACTCTCAATCTCTGTGAACTTTCTAGCCTTAATTCTCAAATAACTTCCCTACTTTTCCTATAGTATCGTTAAATTTCTTAAGGGCAGGGAATATACTTATTTTATACTCCCATAGTACTTAGACCCAGCAGCTATTTAATAATTAATAATTTCATAGGATATATTTTTCGACTTGAAACTTCAACCTGAGTCAGGAGATACTGGTGCTCTGTCATAAAGTAAACATGCATGATACTAACTAATCTCTGTATTATCCAGAAGCCCTTTGACATGTTTGTTCTGCTGGGAATGATCTTCAACAACCAGACAAAAATATCACTTCCTCTCTGAAGTTATCCTTAATTTTCCCACTCAGAATTAATTTTTTATTCTTTGGTTACAGCTCTATTATAACCCACATCACAATGATCTTTAGAGTTGTCATATATTCTCCTAATATATTATGCGCTCCTTAAAGGCAAAACCCTGCTTCTTAGTCATTGCTGTTATTCCTGGCACCTTATATAGTATTCTAAGTATGTTAGGAACTTGATACGTGTCTGCTGAATGAATGAATGAATGAATGAGTGAGTGACCACCACATGACATCCTGTTCTTTAGAATGTGCATCCAAATTTTAGGATCCATTCGTGAATTACTTTGCTTACCCATTTCTTCCTTTCCTAAAACAGATTATTGCAAAAACTATAATTTGGAGAAAATACTTATATCAAGCCATAAGTTATATACAAACTATTCCAATATTACTAAAGAGCAAGGTTAATGAAAATAATTGAGAGAGAAACTTTACCTTCTTGAAATAGTTGTCTGGCATAAGATGGCTCTCTGCCCTGAGGTTGGAAAAAAGCATAAATGCACTTCCTCACTAAATCTTCCCAGCCAGTTCTGCCAGCAGCTCTCAGGGAACTAGTATCAATAGAGATGATTTTACCTACACAAAGAATGAAAGTTTACATTTATGACAGCCTTTTGATATAAATCATCCATATTTCAAAACTAACAACTGCATCTAAGGAATAGTCTCTCCTTTCAAATGCTCGATAGACAAAAGCATTATTAATTTTTATTACATATAATAATGAAGCATATTATTAACATAAAAATTGTTTTGGTCTTGGAGTGTGTTATGTACTAGTATTTCATATTTTAAAATTCAATTCTGGTCAAGTATTAAAGTCATATTTCGTCATACCATAATGACCTGAAGCTGCTGAGACTAATGCAGTTCAGACTCCTCCGGCTTGCTCTTTGCTCCCTGCTCTCTATTGGGGAGGGAGAGGCAGAGACGAAATACGTTGTTTTGGTTTAATTTCCAATAACTAAGTGCAGAGAATCTGACAAAATAGGCAAGCTTTTTTCTCATATTATTTATTCTCAAATGTAGACAATATTACATTTCAGAATAAACAAAGACTGAAGGCAACAAAAGTTAAATAAGAAAAGGATAATAAGTGAGAACATGAAGATTTGCTAGGCCTTACACACACAAAACTTATGCTTTATAAAATTTAGTTAGGATTTGCTATTGTTATCATATTTGAATAAATTTCCTAAATGGCTATGAGAGAATTCAGGAAAATCATTCCTCAGTTAATCAAAGACCAGTTAATCTACTTTGTGATTATTCAGACTTGTTTTATTCTACGTTTTATGCAATCTTATATTCACACAATATAAGTAAGATATCTAATACATATAAATTAAGAATTATATTAATAAAATTATATATTAATAAAATAAAAACCTGCACACCCACCACTCAACTTCAGAACTTGACGTTACCAATAACATTCCATTACATGTGCACTCCTCCCTTGTTGAATCCTCCCACCCCATCTTTAAATCTTCCAATGAATGAGCAACTAGACTGTTTCCAGTTTTTGCCATTACAATCAATTCTGCTATGAACATCTTTCACATGTTCCATGGTGCAGGTGTGTGAGAGTTTCTCTAGGGTATACATGTAGAAGTAGAACTGTGGATTGCAGGTTATGTAAATGTTCAACTTTATAATATTAACTGAAATTGTTTTCCAGAAACTTGTACCACCCTGTGCTTCCACCAGCAATGTGTAAGAGTTACTGTTAATCTAACATCCTTTCCATCACTTGATATTGTCGGGCTTCTTTATTTTTCACATTAGTAAGTAAAAAATAATATTTCATTGTGGTCTAAATTTGTATTTCCCCAATTCTTAATGAGGCTGAGTATTTTTCATGTTTACTTACTACTAATGTTTCCTCTTCTGTGAATGCCTGATTATATCTTTTCTCCATTTTTCCTTTCCTCATACAATCAATTCAAATCTACCCTACTGTTTTTGCCTCCTCACTTAACTAATCCTTTCTTTATATATTTCATTTGGTTTGCTTACAAATAAAATATTCACTGACTTCTTTAACTTAGTTATGGTCTTGAATCTGATGTACCCAAGCCTACTTGATCAGGTTATCACCCAAGTCTTGGCATAAATGTAGATGGCAGAAAGAAAATAAACTGAAACTCAAATAAAGGAATTTTGTTATTTAAGAACAATTTTGGGAAGGCCTGGTAAACACTGTAACTGAAATTATACATGATTTTGGGTTTTAA